GTTCTCTCCTGATCTGCTTCACTCTGAACCCCCTCAGTCCCTAAGTTGACCTTAGGATTGACCTCCGACCCTCTGCTCTGAAATCAAGGAACAGAACTCGTACAGGGGCACAGCACATAAACTGAAGCCGAAGTTCCTTACACCTCCGACCCCCCTCAGGGATTCCCGACCAACCCCGCCATTCCGCGCGCTCCGGACTATCCGGGAATTCCGGGATTGAACCCAGACTTGACAGATAGCCAAGATAGGAATACAAAAGTCCGGGACAGGAAATATGGGGTTTGGAATATCCAATAAAGGAGAAATCTTCTAAGGTAAAGTCTGAGGCTCGGGATTTGGGATTGGTCATAGGGGGCCAGAATTGGGCCGGATGGGTTAGGAAAGTTTTGGGATGTGACACATAGGAATACCAGGTATTCAATGGTATTGCCAAAGGGCTGGCCTTTCTCTTGATGCCAAGGGACACCAAGGGGGGCGATGAGGTTCTTGGCTCAAGTGAGATTGTAGTTGTTGCGATAGACTTCTCCATTAGAGATGCCTAGATAAAGATAAAGGCCCTGCGAAGAAGGGAAATGGAAGATGGAAATGTCATTGACCCATTTCTTGGCAGGCTCAATGTGGAAGGATTTCCAGATGCACAGGACGGCTCCTGCAACTTCGCCTTGCAGCTGGGCAGCGGAGGCAATTCCAAAGGGAACATTGTGATCTATATAAAAGTAGCTGTTGAAATAGATGACTGTGAAGTGTTTGTGATCTGGGGTGGTTGGGATGGTGCGATGCACTGCTTCAATGTCGAGTGAGGTGGCTTGAGCTCCAGGTGGAGCATGTTTGATCTGAGAGAAGTGTGTGATTAGGAGGAGAGAAGAGGGAAGGGAACTTGAGGGAGGCATGTGTAAGGAAAATGAATGTTGCCACACCAAAATGGCCAATGCCAAACCCCCTGTAAGTCTCTGAAAATTATATGTACATTATCAACACACTCTACTAGGCCATTCCTGTTGGCAAATATCAAGACCAAACCACTACCCCCTGCACCCATTCCACCTTCCAAAGACCAGACCACTGACGCAGAGAAGAAGAACACAGGTACCCCTACCAGCTTGAACATGAAAGGCAAGGCCACCACCTCAAATGTATCAACCAACCAAGCTGCCAGTGGTGAGAAGGCCAAATCCAAGATGCACCTGAAGGGTATAACCAGATTGTAAGTATTCTGTTGCTTGCATCTCTCTTATGGCTCTCACATTGTCCTTCCCAGTACATTATGTGCTTGATGTGGATTAATGCATGTCAATGCAAATGGGAGCAGTGAAGACTTCCAAGCATATTTCTACAAGCAACTCACTCTCACACAGTGCAAGGCCAATGACAAAGAGGCCATGGATCTGGTAAGTGATTTATTGCTATCTACAGGGCACCACTAACTAGTATCAGGTTCCTGTCACATCCCAAAACTTTCCAACCCATCCAACACAATTCTGGCCCCTTATGATCAAATCCCGAACCCCGAGCCCCAGACTTTACCTTAGAAGATTTCTTCTTCATCTGATATTCCGAATCCCGTATTTCCCATCCCGGACTTTCGCATTCCCATCCCGAACTTTTGTATTACTACCTCAGCTATCTCTTGACATATGTTCCTTTCCTTTGACATTCCTTGACATTCACAGTTCCTATCAATAATTCTCCTTCCCCCTACTTCACAATTATTGTGCCATCATCCTCAGTTATTATTCCATTATTCTGATGCCATTCCGATTCATCCCCTTACTTTGTTCGAGAAACCTGAAACCCCAATTCATCTGAAATACTTTAATAGTTTTATATCTTCCAGACTCTTCAGTATATAAACCCGACTTTACTCTGTAATATTTTCTTAGTTTGAATATCGACTAAATCCTGTTCTGTCCTCCTAAGTCTTGCTTCACTCTGAAACCTCTCTCAGTCCTTAAGTTGAACTTAGGATTGTCTTCTGAATCTCTGCCTTGAAATTAAGGGACAGAACTCATACAGGGGCACAGCACATAAGCTGAAGCCAAAGTCCCTTGCCCCTCCGACCCCCCTTGAGGATTCCTGACTCCTTATGCCTTTCCTGCACTCCGGACTCTCTGTGAATTCTAGGATTGAACCCGGACTTGACATGTTTTCAAATCATCTTTGAGCTGTATTAGTACTCTAGTTTTAATGTACCCACCTCTATATGTAGTGATATAATATGATCACATTTCATCACAAAAGTCCACATTCTGAATAACCAAAAGGCAGCGACAGGGAAACTAATTTTGTGCACTTTTGTGATTCACTCAAAATAAAACATATGCCAGCATGTATGGAAGTGCCCCTGCACACAGATTCTTCTCATTTTAGTTGTAATATTGTTTGCCATATGTAAATACATGAGTTTGCTTGCTACATCTAAAAGAAAACATGACCTGGCGCCTGCAGGCATCTCCGAGCATGGCCAGTTTTCACTGGGGATAATATATATAAGCTCATCTATCCGCAAAAACACTGCAGATAAAAAGAAAATATGCCCGCTGCAAGGTTCGAACTTGCGACCTCAGGATTGCGTAACCGAATGATTACTCATATTTGTATATGAGACCTGCGCTCTAACCAACTGAGCCAAGCGGGCAATGACAACATTACGTAAATTGTGATTATGAGATAGTAATCAGCTTGTGCAGCATCACAGTAAAATGCCGTGCTTTTTCAACTTGCAGGTAAGTCTGCTGATATTATGTAATATTATTACTGGACCAAAGGATTTGAAATTACAGTAATCCGTGGGAAATTGTTTAGTTATGAATCGGGATACAAGTTGAGTGTGTGTGTGGAGGTGACAGGCAAGAGATCATTCGACAAGTTGGCCTCCGAGTCTCTGTCACAGTTCTACCCAGTTATAAACATTCAATACCACCATAGTAGCTCAACCAAACTACATCGCGAGCTGACCACCACGAGGTTGTCTCTGGTGTCTATACCACATACTCCAGCACTTCGCTTTCCATGAATGCTCGCAAGAGGAAGGCGTCCGATCCTCTCCTTCCTACCACGCAGACGAAACATCCAAGAACTGAAGAGTCGCCCGGAATGATCTTTGGTGTATTCAAGTTTCTCATCAACATATTCGTTCCTTGGGTACCACGTACGTCTTGAATTTCTTCCAGTGATGAACTCACGGGTCGAAGCCGAACTCTTCTATCAGAAATCGACGAACAAGGCGCGTCCCAGTCCCCACGTTTACTTCCCAATCGACCAGTATGTACAGCGCCGGCTCCTCGCACTGCCCTTCCTCCTCGGCCCCCGATACCGAACGAATTCCATTCACATAAGCCTCTGACCCAACTAGAACGCTCTCATATTTCCTCCTCTCTCCCATCACATTCGAATTCCGTGAAAACTCTGAATAGTTCTGGCACATCTCCACCATCAGCACCTACAAGCGAGATGACGTCCATCACCTCTATGTCAACTTCCATGCCCTGCCATAACACCATGGATGATCTTCTTGCAGAGCACATGCGAATAACTCTGACAACAGACCAGATGAACAAAGCGCTATCTGGTAGGAAGAGGAGGAATCATATTTTTGAGCGAAAGGTATGCATCGCCCCAATCGTGTGATGTTACAATTCCAGACTTGGTGTTTTCCGTCCCATATCCTGTAGCACAAGGCAAAAATACTTGAGGACAGAAAGAAAGACAGAGAAGACATGATAAAGGAGCTGTACCGCCTAAAACGTGAAGCTGGTACCACAATCTCTTTCATGAATATAGCAACATATCTGACAATCGTCGTGTCTAGGATATACCTCAGATTACGACACATTCAAATGTAAAGTATCGTCATTTGCTTGAGAGATCTTTTGTTTCTGATTGTTCGATGATAGCCTACCTTAACTACCAAGCCCGACTCGAGCATCTGGACGAACGACAGGTTCTGTCACGTGCGTAATATGATCTATCTACTGAATACTGACTCCATGCCGATCGACCGTCATAGCTTCGTCGTCTCTGACGGACTTGCGTCTTAAAGAGCGGACACCAAATTTGCCGCATAGGCACTCGTTCTCAGACGTACGTCGTTCGAGCATGTTCATGATCGGCCCTTTTGTTTACCTAGCTTCCAGGATGTTAATCCCGACTTTTTGGAGCGCGCAATTAGGATTGCGAAACGGTCATTTGATAGGTGTGTCACGACAGATCAGAGGCGCAGCGTCTCAATGTTAACCGAATGGCCAGTCCACCACCACCCAAACCTTTCTCGGCCCACGACCAGCTTCGCCTGCTAGCACGCAAGAAGGATGAAGCAATAGAACAGCGCCTCCGACCTTGCCTCCCCAAATTATTGCCCGCAGATTTGGATAGACAAGTCGACGCGCTCCTTTCCAGGAAGGGCGTCATCTCCAGGGTCGCGCGAGAACAAGTCTGCGACAAGGACCTCTCGCGTCTGTTGCCGTGCCAATGGCTAAACGACGAGATCATCAACTTTTACGGCGCAATGATTCTTTCGCGCTCGGAGGCGTGTAAAGAGAACCCCGGACCAAACGGCGTTACATATGGAAGGAAAAAGCCATTGAACGTGCATTACTTCAATACCTTCTTCTGGTCGAAGCTGCAGGGTGAGGGTTACGAACGAGCGAGACTTGCGAAATGGACAAAGAAGGTGCGTCGTTTCTTTATGGCGTCTCTGCTGGCCCTCTGATCTCCTCTTAGTTCGACATCTTTTCAAAAGACATCATTCTTATTCCCATCAACCACAGCAATTCTCATTGGACTGGAGCGGCGATCAACTTCCGTCGCAAACGGATAGAGTCGTACGACAGCATGAACCTTGACCGACGTCAAGTCTTCAAGGTTGGCCCATCTTGCCATCTGAAACGCTCATGGCTAACGATCACTCCTAGGGTCTTCGTCGCTACCTTGAACTAGAACATCAGAACAAAAAGAAGGAACCATTGGACTTGACGGATTGGGAGGACTATGACCCAGAGGTAGGGATCCGATTCTGAACCCAGTAAATAAAATATTAGTTCATCCAACATCTTCGCAGGACACTCCACAACAAGAAAATGGCTATGACTGTGGTGTCTTCACATGCCAATTCTTGGAGGCGCTATCCCGAGGAGAAGACGTATTCAATTTCTCCCAGAAAGATATGACTTATCTTCGCAGACGGATGATCTGGGAGATTGGACAAGCCAAATTTCTTGATGGGCCATAATATCACTCTATGAGCCTCCTGGCGTCCGCCAGTTTTCTGAGATATCTGTGGGAGTCTTATATATGCGTCGTGGGCTTTGTGGTTTGGGTGGCGAGTGGTTCCAGGGGAAGCTTGATTAGAAGGGTTCGGTACGAATATAATTGTGACGGGGAGCTCAGAGTTCATGATGTGAGGGTTCCTCATGTCCGAAGATCATTAACAACTTCAGCGTCGAAACCACCATACAATGATGAAGAACCAAAAGACGAAAACGAGGAAAACGATGTACCACAGCCATCGACAGCCTTGTCGGTCGGCCATGTTGTTCATTCGACGAAATGTCCCTGCGAGGATGCCAGAGGTTTCTGCGAATGCGTCGTTCTAGCACCACGAGAATTTGCTTAGATGGACAGGCCACGAGGAAACTCGGGGTAAAACGCGTACCATCTGACTGAGTTGGATAGTCGACTCTCGAACCTCATTCCCAATACCGATAGTTATCTTCGGAAGGGTAAAACATTCAGTGCCAAGCATAGGTGAAGCTAAAGCCCACGAGATAACATACATCTTTCAATAGTTTCACTTTGGCAGTCAAACCCTCGAGTTGTTCGTCATTCTGGCCCTCTATATCGTCGACATACCGATGGCCTGAAGGTGCGTGAAGCGGAAGTTCCAATGGAGATGAACGCCCAGAGGCTGGGGGTGTAAAACCGCCAAGCAGTGCGGAACGGTCACGTAGTGAATTGGGTGCTCGAAATCTTTGGAGACGTTTAAGACAGGAGAATATGGGCACATTGTTGCAAAGAGCCTCACCGTTGGGACATTCCGAGAGGGTGCCAGACCAGCTATGCGTCTCGGGTGATGGAAAGAGAAAAAGATGATAGTGCGGTGCCCACAGAGGCCACACGTAAACTTCCAAACCGAAGACTCGGACTGAGCTCAACGCTTCATGCTTCAAGACAGTGACACATTGGTGCGAAAGTCACCCATCAAGACCATGTTCACCCTTCCCTGCCGTCCGCGCGACATCCGGACTGTTTCATTTAGCTATAGTCAAGACTTCGGCAGCCTGAAGTTGCACCTGGAGTTCGGTACATAACGTGAATCTATACTCGGCTCAAATCTAAGGTGAACCGCTACTTTTCGTTCCTAGCCACCTTTTCAGCGCTCTGGTGCCGCTCTTACTTACATTCTCAAAGCTCGAGGAAACAGGTTACGACGTTTCACGATTAATACTCATTGGATTCGAACTTGTTGCGAAGGACAACACCACCCGACCAGAACGAGACAGCATTAGAATGCCAATGAATAGTGGATACACGCAACTTATCGCTTTGGCGCTGGCGATCGCCAGCAGCGCTTTTATCTACGCCAAGTTGGTGTCGTCAAGTGTGTCTATTCACGTACCGTTGTTACCAGCACTGACCTTGGTCGATTCGTGGAATGTAGAACGGAAGCCAGTGCTTAACCCCAAAAAATTCCAGGAGTTTTCTCTGCAAGAAAAAATCGTTGTGTCTCCCAATACTGCTATGTGAATGTCTGACCTTTGTACCATTGGAAGGGCTCCGAAGTAACAACCACGCGTCCATAGTTACCGTTTTGCTTTGCCTCGTCCAGATGACGTCCTCGGTCTACCCATAGGCCAACACATCTCCATTTCAGCGGAAATCAATGGCAAGGAAATCATGCGGAGCTACACGCCCACCAGTAGTGACGACGACCTTGGTCACTTTGACCTCTTGATCAAGGCAGGTGTTATCTGCTCCTTCCGAAAACCTTGCTCAGATGTAGTTAACACGTACCATTCATTAGTCCTACGAGAAGGGCAACATCTCGCGCTACATCTCGCTCCTAAAAATTGGCGACAAAGCCAAGATTCGTGGGCCCAAGGGCTTCTTCAAGTATACTCCCACTTTGTCTCGCCACATTGGAATGATTGCTGGTGGTACTGGTATAACGCCCATGCTCCAAATCATCAGAGTCGCCTTGAAGAACCCCGCCGACAAGACGAAGCTGAGCCTGATCTATGCGAATGTCAACCTTGAGGACATTCTTCTCAAGAAGGAGCTCGACCATCTCGCAGCGAGGCACCCTCATCGCTTCACTCTTTACTATGTCCTCAATAACCCATCAGAGGACTGGACTGGTGGTGTTGGCTTCGTTACGAAGGAACAGATTGTGAAATACTTGCCCCCTTCAAGTGACGATATCAAGGTTCTCTTGTGTGGTCAGTACACCCTTGTTTCGAGACGACCATTCACGTTGAGAATTCACCTCTAGGGCCTCCACCAATGATGATCGCCATGAAGTTCGCATAAGATGTGTGCTGAAGTGCATTATTTTGATTTTGATTTTATTATAGGAAACACCTCGCTGAGCTAAATTACCCCGCCCCACGTACAGTCAGCAAGCTTGAGGACCAAGTAATG